TTCCCCACTTTATAGTCGGGGCTGAGACTTAGTTTGGCCAGAGCAGTTAGTCACTCGGGGAGCGCACAGGCCGGTGAGCCAGATGGCCGAGCAGTCATCACGCCAGCATCCAACACGGGCAATGAGATTTCAGGAAATATCAATTTGCATGCCGGCCATCAATCAACTAGCGCACCGGCTGGGGAGAGCCGTTAACTATCATAGTCATGAAGTAGCATATTTACTGCATCCTGTGAATGCTGCAACCCCTTTTAAATGAATTATCCCTATCCGATGTTGTGTCTAAGTGAGGCGTCTACTTCAGCTTTGCATAGGCCGAGGGGTGGCTTATACATGAAAGACTGTGACTGGTTAGGTACACGCGCGTCTGCGCGCGTGTTAAAAATTGGTCAGAATGGAGGGTGAGCGCGTTACGAGCCGCTCACTGGAGAGGGGAAGGACCTTGAAGCATCAAGACGCTGAACAAAAACGCCGGTCATGACGGCTGCACTATCATCATCACCACCACTACCCCCACCACAGCCGCTGATTATAGTATCACAACTACTTTAATCACTAGTACTAATATTATTCCTAATACTAGCACTATCACTGCCAATAGTACTGTTGCTGCTACCAACGACCTTATCACTAATGCTATTCTCTTCTAGTAATAGTAGTAGCATTAGTAGTAGAAGAAGTGGTATTAGTAGTAGTAGAAGTGGTATTAGTAGTAGTAGTAGTAGTAGTAGTAGTAGTAGTAGTAGTAGTAGTAGTAGTAGTAGTAGTAGGATTAGTAGTAGTAGTAGTAGTAGTAGTAGTAGTAGTAGCAGTAGTGGGAAAACTGTTGATTGCACTGTCATGACCGCTTACAAGTTACAGAAACCCTCACTGGAGCACTCGTTACCCCGTTTTGATCCGTCAGCCAACTGGTAACTGGAATCCGACTGAGGAACCATTTTCTTGCACCTTGTTTTCTGTAATTTCCCAAATTTCCCTGCATCAGTCAACGTAGCATATACAAAAAATAAAACTTGACTCGATCTTGATAGCGAAGTGGTTGGCGAAGGGCAAACCTTTGCATAAATCGACTTTTCTCCTCTAAGTGGATTTAAAGGGGTTGTTGGTTTATTTTGTGATTGAAACAACTCTGCCTCTTCAGCCAGAGTGATTTTGATAATCTCCTCGAGCAAATTTAATTACGTGTTTTAAGAATTTCGGCCAAAATCTGACTTGTTTGGAAGCCTCACACCAGGGCAAAATTAGATTATGCGGGGCAGTAAACAGGCGCATGGAGGTTGTTTCTTGTGTCGGAATGTGAACTTAGGGGGTGGAGAAGGACACTCGCAACTCAATTCCATTTCGCTCCGACTATTTTGTTTTGCTCAGAAACTAGCCTGCACTGATTTCCGTGTGAAACCTGCACAGGACGGAAGTATTTACTGATTAAAAGAAAATGTCAGGAAAAAGAGGCTGGAATAAAGGTGACTGCTGGCAGTGGAAATTCAGAAGAGGATGATGTAATCACTGAAACAAGAAGTTTATTGGCCTGACGTTTCGGATTCTCACTTCAACTCCAAGTGGCGTTGGGATTGCACGCAGTTCGGAAGCAACCGCCAGGCCCCAAGTCATAAGGCCGAAAGACCCGCTGCCACGGCAGAAAACATCTGGAGTCGTTTACCGGATCTGGTGCCGTCGCGGAAAAGGCTACTACTTCGAAGAAACTGGGAAATCACTCCGGACACGCATGGCTGAGCACGCAGCAGCGGCGAGGAGGAAAGACGTCAGCTCTTAGGTGGCGACTCATTCTACGGAACTCGGCCAGATTTTCAAGTCTCAAGAGGCCGAAATTCTCACCAGGGGTGACAACCGCGTGAACCGCGAGCTGCTCGAATCATGGTTCTCAGGCCCGCAATCAATCAACAAGCACTATGATCTCTCGGTACCATATTCGGTGTTGAGACATTCGCTGAGCAGTCACGTGAGGAGGGCTCCAATGAGCAACAATTCCAGTGACAGTGATCCAAATCGTCGTGCCAACATCCAAGATGGATGTTGAAATTGCGACACTTAACGACTCGGACGCGGACTGACAAGCCGTCGTCGCATCAATTACGACCCCCAGCGGTGATCGCGAGAACTGTTACTTATAGCACGCATGCGGTCCCACGGCAGCTGCGTACTATAAATACTGTACTCCTTGTGCCTCCACTACCCTTATCTGCGGCCGTCTCTGATGACGTGTTCGAGTGAGAATCCGAAATGCCTGGCCAATAAAATTCCTGTTCCCGTGATCGCACCTTCTTCTTCTGAACAGCTTCCCGGAACTCGCCCGTTCGCTTCTGTCGGCAGTGGAAATTCAATTTGCAGAAAGTCTAACGGAATAATAAGCAAAGTTCGCTGGCGTAGGCCTGTAGGACGGTAAACATTTCAGCGAACACTTCTGTCTACCCGTCGTCGCCGGATGCTGCCAGCGCCCACCTTACAAAGCCAGTGTGTCTGAAGGAAGGAACTACCACTCCTGGCTTCTTAGCCGTCGCTACCCAGGTTTGGATAAACCAGGATTCAAGCCCAGACCCTTCTGTATTTGTGCCCCATTAAGTACGATGTTGTAAAATTAAGCCACGAGCCCATTTTATTGTAGGTTGTGATTGGGACTATTTGCAATGGTAGGAGGACGCCCGGCAGTCACTACCAGGCATCCGTAGGCGGCCGCGTAGCGTCCCATAAGATGTAAAGGAAGAAGACCGAGATGGTCGCTTCCGGCAAGGTTTTCACAATTCTTAGAAAGTGCATATGGACACGATGCGACTTCTCTATCGATACAAAGATCTGCATGTACCTTGCATCCATCCGGTCGGTCCTATAAAGCTATGAATGCCGGACTGTGCGTTTTGAGGATGAACGAAAACTTGAGGATAATAATAAGGTGGATGAGGGTGGAGGGAGTGCAATAGCTCCTGTGAAAGTCTGCCTCTCCCAGATGTAGATCACCGTCCCCCGCTTCACTCCAAGAACCACGCGGTGGACGTCGCCGGTTAAATTGTCGAATATCCTGTCCATGTTGACATATGGCGGACGACCTTAACCACGTCGGAAACGAGCAGCAAAGAACCTCGCTTGGATGCTTAAGATCGTCTAGCCTCGTGAGTCTGTTGGGAGTTTGCAGGAACGGAGTACAGCATTCTACTGGCCCTCGACAGTCACCCACAATTTTCCCGTTCCACGCGGACTGTGGCTGACTGTAGTGGTCAACTAAATCACAACGGTCCCCTCGTCTTTGTCAACGAACCTTGCCAACTGTCGTGTGCGCCTCCCGTCCCCCCCCCGCATCCCCCTCTTGGAGCGCTATGAGCGAACGCACCCCACGCAGCACACATTCCGACCCATTGGGTGCTGTACTTTTCATGAACACTCGTCGTACGCAGAAGCAAGTTCTTGGCTGCGGGAAAGGGTCGTAATGCAATATCTTGCATATTTATAAAAGTCCGATTTGGTTCATCGTTGGTTTTTAGTAACTGAAGAACTACATTGATTCTGCGGTTGCATAATCCCATCTGATGCCCGTACTCTGCATTTTATGCGCAGATAGGTTCCACTCCAAGGAGACTTTTAAAAGAATACGCTGATTAATATCTATTTGTAATGAGGTTTTTCGCCGTCAGTGGAAATTTAATAGATTAAATGGGCTTCGCCGAAAGACCTGCCTAGCACTGAAGCACGTATTATTATTATTATTATTATTAGTAGTAGTAGTAGTAGTAGTAGTAGTAGTAGTAGTAGTAGTAGTAGTAGTAGTAGTAGTAG